GTCAGCGCAATTAGAACGATTAAACTTGCCGTGTTGCGAGAATGGCGAGAACGAATCGGTCACGGTACCCGAGGCAGACGTCCCCCCAGCAAAATGAAATTTAATTAAACCTCGCGTCTAACTGTGGACTTGTGTCTGTATCTTCCATTGTGCTCAATCGTTTAATCGAAAGTGTTATAAATGTTTCAACATTTATTAATGTATTAGGTAATTTACGTTAGTAAAGTTATACACCTCTGCTGTACCAGCAAGTTCGGTAGAAAACTGCGAAGTAATATATAGGCAAGGATAATAAATTGCACTCGACGGTCTTTGGACCAACGTCCAAACAGTAGTTTTAAGGGGTCATTCTACTTTAACGGCCGACAAAGTTGAGCTATGTCTGGGGATTTTCTCCACATTGAATACAATATGTAATCAAATGCATCTTGTTAGTACTTATTAAACTACTTATAAGTAATATAAAAAAATTTGCAAAAACGATTGTATTAAATTTTATGTTTTTCCTCAGCATGAAAGTGACATCTAAAGAAAAGGTATTTCCATGGTGTAGGTAATATCTCAGCTAAGACTCATCTGATACAAAAATTAGAAAGAAAAAACTTGAAATACGATAAAATTATTTTTGCAATTTTTTCATATTATGTATAAGTAGGTCAGTACATACTAACAAGATGCATATGATTACATATTATATTTGTGGAGGAAAAACAAAGAGACAGTCCTGTTCAGTCCGACGTGTACCACAAATTCGTGAAAATTGATTAATCATTGTGGATCACACCTGGCCAGTTCCCCTCGTGAATAATATTCTCGTGAAGCTCACGCGGTCCTCGTCATATTCTTGCCACCCGACCACTCGAACAACCCCCCTCTGCGCGATAGTTTTCCCGCGTAAAGTGTTGCCACTCGAACCAGAAGCCAGATAACCCATGAACGCGTCACTCAATGGCGCGCACGATATCTCTCGGAAATTCCGGATAAATCTGTCGGTGAGCGAGTCATCGTGGCCCAGGCGATATCTGCGCTAGCACGCACCACTGAAATTCCCGCGTATCTATTCCACGCTCGAACACGAAGTGCCTATCCAGGCAATTTTTTTTTCCTCTCTATGCTTGCCTGCCCCCTCAACCCTTACGGGGGTCACCCTGTTCAAGCTGTCATAATTGCATTCGGCGATTGACACGGATCGAACGTGGATCGTATCGCTTCGATTCGAATCCAGTCGCTCGTCGTGAATGGGATTCCGTCGAGCTAGCCGCGATTCGAGGGGGTACAATAACGATTATGGTTACGGTAATGGAGAGGGGGTGGGGATGGTAATAATGGCCGGTGAAACACGCACGACTCCATTTTTGACGGCCTCGGGTACCAGCCTGTCGTTCTGATACGTGGAACGACGGAGTATAAAGGATTCGTGGAACATTGTCTCTGCAATTTCAATGCGTCGTGCTTCGAATCGCAAGTCTGTAGGGTTCTGTCATTCTTTTTATCGTACAGAACGCGAACGTACCTTCGGGAGGATTCGATTGATCGGGAATCGAATGAAGATATTTTCCAGGGGACTGAATATCAGGAGTAATTAGGCTAAGATGTATTCATTGTTAACGCGATTTTGGAAAAAATGATGAGGATCCGTGCACGTACTGGGCGGATGCACCAGTGAATGGACATTATACAGGGTGCAACAAAAGTATTGCAGGTCCCTGAAATGGGTCACTCTGTAAAAACTGAAGGACTTAGAACGAAATCATGTAAAATATCATGGTAAAAATTTGTATTTTTTCTTTTTTATTTCATTGATTACATTTTTCCTGCATTTCAAATTGTAATCTATACATTTTAAAATGAAGTATAGATATAAAAGAATTGAATTTTCATGTGCCAAATATCTCGTAATATTATTATCATTTAAAATTTGACTTCAGCAGTTACAAAATTTCTTAAGTATTCATTGATTGGTGCGTTCATCCTATATTGTATAAGCATCTCAGGGTCCAATGTGAGGCAACTGCGACGGCAAAAGCTGAGGACTGGAGCAGTGCTCGTGACGTTCTGGAACGCGCTGCGAGTAACGGGCAATCGAGTCTAGCCTTGTTTCATGAGCGGGGAATTGAATGTCAACCTTGTTCGCGTACACGTCGACGGTCTTATTCCGTGAATTTCGTTTCAATCAGCCTCACCTCGATCCACCACACGGAGCTGGAGGTGATGGCGTAAACACGAACGAACGACGGTGATGAAAAGTCAGCGCAAGAACGCCTGATGACAATAACCCGCCGTGGTCTTATGTAACACGGGGATACGAAATGTTAGCGAAAGTTCCGCCGTCGTCGCCGTCCCCGCTTAAATGACACTGTGCAAGTGACAGGTTCCAATTACCAGCATCAAACGTTTTCACGCAACCGGATAGTTTAATAACGCGCGACGACGCAGCGATATCCATCCAATGGAAACACCGGGTAAGCCCCTTGTCTTTTGATCGACTCTGAGCAACCTCGAATTCCACATTGCCAGCGATCAATCCCTGTCAGCTTGTTTCTCGAAGGAACAAAAATAGTACGTCGACGCTTTTACAGTCAATAATTACCCTTACGATGTCGTTATATATACAGGGTGATGGAAGCAAAGGGTTTATAGCTTCTAGGGTAGGTAGTACTTGCTTAAAAAATTCTAATAAACATGTATTGAAAAATTAATATTTTCAAAGTTATAAAGAATTTGCGGTTCCGGTTAAGGCTAATGACTTTCTCGTTTAGAGAGGAAGCAATGGATTACCTTATCATTGCTTCTTTTTTCTGTTTACAGAAAGTTTTCCACGGGTTTTGTTAGTTTCCTTTACAATTTTTTTCATTGTTTTCACACGGTACCGATAGCTCAAAAATGGAGAAAGTCAGTCGCCTTAACCGAAAGAAAAAATTGTTTATAAATTCGAAAATATGAATTTTTCGATTCATGTTTATTAAGACTTTTTTCATTATTTGGTGAGTACTATCTACTCTAGAAGTTGAAACATTTCTTTGTTTTACACTGTGTATGTACGTATATTTTTTTGGCGAATTAAACTCTGTGCCATCGCGATCTGCAGTCAAGAAATCGTTGAATGCTGTTAAACTCTCTTCGTCCTCGAGGCACCGATTATCGCGGCTTCAGGTACACCCAGACTGTGTACGATATAATAGTTAACAACCTCGAACTTCCGGCCCGCACGATACGGGAAATTATCTAAATTCCTTATGGGATGCCTGGTATCGTTCATCGGAAGCTTTTCGAAAATTCGAAATTGCCGCGTTGAATCGATAACTATGCGGGATGGGGACAATAGCGTCCGATATTGAATTAATAAGGGACTCGAATGAAAGTCTCGTAAGCGGCTTCTTCCAGCTAGCTAGCGTTCTCGTTTATTTTCATGTCGGCTTCGAAAAACGGTCGAAACACATTATTTCAATTTTAATTGAAAGAAAAACTAGGTAGCCTATGTCCGGCCAGGACCGCTAGTTTTTACTTTAATACGTTTATAAGTACTGAAAGATACGAATTCAAGACATTTATGTATTAACACACTTTATTTATGAACAAATTTTTTGTTCGTTACTTATCAATCTTTTGTGTAAGGACCTATGATACGAGATGTACGATACATATGGTAAAGTCTGTACAGAAATGTTTCTAGTGACTGTTGGATCTGTGCACGTATTGCCTTAGCCCTTTTGGCTGGGGTAAATGGCCCTTTTCTGGATTCTTCATGGTCCGAGCTATCGAATCCTGTTCGTGTCTTCGATTTTCGTTTGTACTTTCTCCATATGCAGCGGGACATTTCGTAATCTCGTACAATTTTTTTCACAAAATTCTACACAATTCGTACAGATGTGACAGATTCAGTATTTTATTCTGCTAAGTCGTCCAAGTTGACTGTCGTTTCGATTTCGACCTTAAACTACTTAAAAATACCTGAGGAGGGGCACGGGAAAGGGGGATCACTGTCACACTGTGCAACAAACTTTCATCCTTGTTTTATCCAATGATATAAAACAGACTTTGATAGAACGATGACATCATGGAAATATTCGCCAAATACATTGGAACTGATTTTGTGACGCTCGAGTTTTCGTAGATGCGAGGTACCGATTTTAAAGACGTATTCACGTCAAAATTTCACTTCAACGCGATAGAAGGGGGGAGATCTGATCAAAATTTCGCACGAAGAATCGCGTGCGGTGTGTCGATGCGCGAACGGGCGAAATAAGTCACCACATCTTCCTCTGGAACCAGCTGGCAGGGCATTGAAAAGCGGGAGAACGATAAGTATCTCCGAGCCTGGAAGCTCCGAGGGGTTGAAATCGTTATGGTGTTGCGTGCGGTAAATAGATAAATGCGGACTTGAAGTGCATGGAAACGGCACACGGGTGTCAGAAGATAGGGCGCGGCGAATCGTGAAAATGTATTACCGCGGAAATAATTTGCATTTAGATCCCTCGATACGTCGAGGGGAGAGAGCACGACGTTGGCTGGCATGTTTCGCTGTACTTTTTAACATTCTATTGTTAATTTGTTTTCACCAGGGGCTTTGCATACATATAGAGACTATTATGATGCACTTTCCGCAAGAAATTGTCGTTTCATCACGGTCGAAGTTGGCGTATCCATGGAAAATAGGTGAATTTAGAGCGTGAGCTACTGAATCCTTGACTCGTAATTCTTGTGGGTGCATTAACTGTGACTTGGAACGCGCACAAATAATTTTAAACCTTTCCTTATCAAGGGTTATTGTTTTTAAGGATAGAAAAATTTTATACATACCTCTTAATTAAAGAATTACTTTCTTGTCTGACAAATGAGTTACTTATACCACTTAATGGAACGGTTATTCCTCATATTTGTCTAATCTCATGCTTCCTATCATGCAAATTAATTCCTCTTCTGACCAAGTATTGACCTGTACCACTTACAGTGACATTTGGTCTGTTTGTGTAATCTGAAACTTCTTTTTCTGCTTTCAGCGATCACGCACGGGTCGTACGTCAGGCATTATACGGCGGCTTGGTACGACACAGCTGCGCTGAGAGAACATCGTACCAGAAGTCGTCGTGACACTTCGGCTTCCGGGCATCCGGGTGACGCGACGCTGAATCTACGCCTTCACGCTCTCGACAGGTTCGTAAAACCACGTATTCTTGGTCGAAATAGAAAGGAACAGAAAGGTGGAAATAGGTCTGAACGGTCGGGAGAGACGGAATAGGGGATTGGGGGTGGAAGAGCTTTATCGAGGAAAATTCCACTTTCTAGCGACAGTCAAAGGCGGAATAATCATTCGGCGGGGATGGTCCTTTTTGCGCCACGAAGTCACAGAGAGATAGAAATTTTCTTTTCGCGTCGACGAGTGACAAATATTTACCGCGATTCCTGAATATGGCCGCTTATAAATCAACTCGAAGAAGTTAGATATTCAAATGAAAATTCATTTTATTTACAGAGGTACTCTGAATTACGGGATCCTCAGTCCCTGGCCATATTGACGTGACCACCTTGTCTACATTAACACTTTGATTGCCACATCACCCAAATATGGGTTACACGTACATTGCAAAGAAGTTGGATTATTTCAATATCGTTATAAAATTTTTGCGTAAAATTAAGATCGTACTATAATTTAAAACAACACCAACAGCCTCTGTCAACTACACGCGTATATTTTCGACGATTTATGACTTAAAAAACGAATTAAATTGTGCCTGGCTACGTACGGCCATTTTCACTGTGGCAGTCAACGTGTCAAACAAAATCTAACACCAGCTTCTTGAAGCATAATTGTTATTCTTTGATGCGGAAATGTTTTTTATTGTTCTGGCAATATGTTTTGTGAAAGTAAAGGCAATAGTTTTTTGTGCACTGGCAATATTGGAAAAATTTTGTTTTTCTATCAAATTTTCAAGTAGTCATTATAAAATGGCCAAGGGCTAGTGTAAAAATTAGTCACAATAATAATCCCGTATTTTTAAAGTCAGTGCTCAGATTTGGTTCAACTTTGGACGATATTATATTTTCGGCCTGGTGCAACGCGAACAAACGAGTCGCCGTTCCAACGCGCAGCTGCGAAATCAGGGTAATTATTTTATGCGCGCAGAGACAGCTTTCTCTTGAGAGCGCAAGTCCTGGACGAACTCGTGCGGCAAAGAAGCCGGAATCGTCTTGCAAGTCGGCGCTCGTTTCATTATATGGCGTTTGGAGTTGACTATAACTTAACGCGTCAGTGGTATGGGCGAGGAGCAGTGGAAGTGCTCCGAAATAAGTCAGGCATTACTCGCGATATTGAAACATCCAAAGGCAGAACAACACTGAAACGTAAGAGGAGATGTTTCATTACAAAATTATTCCACTCCTACAGGCGTGAAGTATAGTCTAGTTTCCTGGATCGTTACTTAAAACGGTTCTCAGTAGAACTGCCTGAAATAAGTCAGACGGAAGGTGCTACATCGAATTTCTCAGAAGCAAAACTTTCATGATATATTAGCAGTCTTAATTCGCCGTGATCACAGATCCTTTAAGCATCGTATGCAATAGAACATGATTTTTTTTATTTTAACCCCAGATCCAAATCCCTGAAATTTGTCCTGTGGGACATTCGACGGGTTGTCATAGCTGTTAAGGATAGCACATGGGTGCTAATCCTAATAGAGCAGCACTGTTTCACGAATGTTCACGTCTAAATTTACGTTGCTATGTCCGGTGGTTGTTTTTTTCTTCAATCTTTTTACGGTATTAATGGTTTATAAATGATTTGCTAGCGGGTTTGGATGGTTCGTTCTTACTTTGTACCTGTTGGATGGTCGATGTATCTCCTTTACTCTCTTCATCAATTATGTACCACGGTGCATCTACTATTGTTTGTCTTTCATTTTGTCTATGCAAGAACACGAATTAAAAACGAAATCAAGGGGTGTTCTTAAGTCTGACTGGTTACCGAACGATCGTCCAGACGCAGTCGGCGCATGTTTGCTCGATCCTCTCGTGCAGAACCGACATGTCCAACGATCGCCGGCCTTACGTGACATAGGCTCTCGACATGGCGACCATATGCCTCGTTGAGCATCATGATTCGCCGTCAGTGTACTGTCAGTGGCATCGACGCAGCCCTCCTAAATCTCTCTGTGTCACACTCAAATGCACGAACAGTTTCAGCGTCTCTGAACAGGTTCTCTCCACGTCTGTTAAATCTGTGCCCCATTAATTTCAAGTGTCTCGTGTTCCACTCCTTTTATATCAGCTTACCGTAAACAAGAAACGGAAACACGAAATCGATGTTTGGCACCCGGTCTATACACTTTCTTAACCCTTTAATTTATGAACCCTTCCTCCATCGTAGACTCTATTCTCCACTTAGCTACCTCGACTTTTCCTTTCCTCGTGGTTTCTTCGATTCTCCATCAGCACCACCGTTCTCCATCAAACTTCGTGCAGCTTTTTCCTCACACCCCACCCGCCTTCGTTCCGAGACAGGCAACTCGGGGGTTTTTTGGCCTGACAGTTTCCCTCTTTGCTCCAGTTTTCCAGTCCCGGCACCCACCGCATCCAGAACGCTCTCGAAACTCCAGGAGAACAGAGGAGAGAGCGCATTTGGTCGATACGAGGCAATGCCTGATTCGAGTCGCGAGCACCTGGCTGCTCCAGAGAGAGGACACGTCGCCCTAGAGGGCTAATGCGCTCTGCCCTTTTGTGGGAACACGTTCAACCCCTATCGGATCCGTTACGACGAAGTTAACCCTCTCTTTCTGGCTTTGGTTCTAACCGACGAAAACCGAGGAAAGAGCGTGTGAGCAAGCCAGGAGAGAGACAGACTTATCGCGTTCGAAATACCACCCCCCTCCACCACCTTCGTGTGTTCCACCGGGGTGAATTCGGTTGGCCACTAAATTTTCGTTGAAATACGAACGTTGGAGCTGTGTGGGGCGAGGGGAAAAAAAATTCCGCGGCGGAAGGTGGCGGTGAAATTTATAAATGCTTGGCTTTGGGAGGGGGGATAGTTGGTGTCCCTGGATATCACAGAACGGTGGTGATGGTTTATGATGGACTCGGTGGTCTCCACGGCGAGAAGCTTTATTTCTCGTTTTGGTCTTTCAATCCGACCAAGAATAATTTCAAGGAGTAGTACGAACTCGAATTTACTTCCGCCTCTCGTGACTCACACAAAGGGTTCCGTTTATATGAATATTTAAGACCGGATCAACACGGCGGATACACCGACACGGTACAAAGGCATTTTATTTGAATATACGGGAGGGGGGTGAGGGGATGATTCCCTTCGAGATATCGAACTTGCACGATGTTTACCGGGCCGGGGAGAATGAGAAACGGAGAGTTGTGTTGCCGCAGAACCTTTCTGGCTACAACACCCCGCCGATAAAACTTCGTTTTTACTGTCTGATTCGGTTATGGAGACCGAGGACGGGGGTGAGTTTACGACAGACGGGATATCAAACTCCAGGGAAAACAACTGAAATTCCTTCGTACGTCCACCCCTCCACTACCCCTCCTGTCCAACGATAAAGCTAAGTAGAGGATAAATTTAAGAATATATTGACCCTCTGTATTTCTGTCTGTCATGGTTACGAACCCTGGAGCATATATCTCAGAACTGTAAAAATTGTATTACATCGTGGTATAAATAATACAAGGAGAAACAAGTACTCGATTGCAAGGGGGAAAGCATTGAAACATTTAACTTGATAGCTATCCTTAGAGAACCTTGCACGGTTGGACTGCTGTTCGTGAAGGGTTCGAATGGTTCTCGTATAACTCCTCCGATTCCTTGCGAGCCTTTTCTGCGCCCCTAAGAAAGATTCGAAGCGATTCGTGGATAGTATTATCCTAGTACCCTTGGGAAATGGGAAAATGTTAATGTCTTCGGTAATTACGTTGATCTAAGGTACTACAGTAAATCCTTGATGAGTGTTCGAAGGCTCCTCGGTACTGACACGGAGAAGTTCTGGAAGAAATGATTCGTATTTTGACCAAAAATCACGAGAGCTTCTTTAAAGAAAAAAACGTTAATAGACACAATAATAAATGTACTCTTTTTCCTTTTGAATTTCAAATAATTCCTGGGGTATATTTCGCCAACGCCAGTGTTTTTTTCAATTCCCCCTGGTCATCACTCTGTATCAAAAACACATTATCTTTCTGTTGAACAGTTTTTGTGCAAAGAATTCACAATCATCTACTTTATGGCCCCACAAGGTAGATGCCCCCTACCCTTAAGAATGAAACAAAGAATTGATTGCATCTGATTTTTCTTTTTAATTGTATTTCACATAGCTATCTGGGCATTAAACGCGCAAAAACCATAGTTTAATATTAACATTCATTTGCACAGGAGCATTCAACAAGTCGATGTGTCAGGCATCAGAAGAATAGAGGACGTTAGGAGAGAAATAGAGGGGTCTAAGCATCCCTTATGTTTCAGTCGCTTCGTGAACAGACAGTTAAAGGAAATCGATATTCGTCGACCAATCACACCACTATCGAGGCGAACCGGGGTTCGCCTTATTTTCGAATTAAGTCCCTTCACGAGAACCCCCAACCCCCCTCGCCAGTCAGTCGGTCGGCCCGTGCCGCCAGGGGAGCGCAATTAAAAATCGGGTAAAATTCTCGTTCGTCGAATCGCGACGCGCGTCTACCCCTCTCACGTTTCCTTTCGTTAGAGCTGGCGGCCGCGCGATTTAATTGGATGATTCGTTAATGAGTTCCTTGAACGATAATCGGCCGTACGGTGTAGCAAATAAACCCCCGGACGCGCATCCAATTAACCTTAATATCGGCACTTATTGCGCGCTCGAGCCAATTACATCGACTAATTATAGAAATTCAGACGTGCCGATTGTGCTGAAACCCTGTGTAAGGTGGGTACAGGTAGAATCAATTCGGAATTGGTACGAATCGGATCGAGAAGATGGGGATGTGGAGAGGGTTGTTTGGTCACCCTCCGTAAAGTGTGCACGTGCTTCGTGGACTTAACGATTTCCGTTGGTTATTAAAATGGCTCCCACGGCGTGCAGCTGATTCTAGATACCACGCGAGTGTCTCTTCGTTCTATTTATTTTGTTTTTATTTATTTATTTATTAACGGGATAAATAACTTTTGGTACAAAGTTATCATA